ACATTTATAGTTTCTGGCATAATTTGGCTCAGTGATTCCGCATCAAAGATTCCTATTTCCCAAGTGGAATAAAGGCTCATATCCTGGCATATGTGAATAATTTAATATGCTGTGCTGCAATAGAGCCTTTTAATTTATTTTATTTATGCTGCTTTACTTTTTGCTACTAATGGTTTGAATTCAGAATGTTTCAAGTTTCAACATTCTCCTGTTTGAAACAGGAGGCTTCGACTATGCTGAAAGTCTTTTAAGCTTAGAAAGCTGTTTTGAATTCAGTTGAAACGCATTTCATGTGGTTGAGGCAGCCAGTTATAAACGCTACGTGTCTAGGATCAGATACTTTTCTGTGCCTCTACTAGAAATTATCACAGTGGAGTATTACTATCTTGTATACAGCTGCCATTATACCTGAGATACTATTTGGTTTGTGGCTTTTTTTAAAAAAGAGGTTTAAGTCATTCATGGAAAGCTTTTGCTCTAAAGGACAGCTATGCATTTTTGAAGTAACAATAAAAGAATAAATATGTATTGCAGTTATAGAGGTACTTACAGTAGTAATTGCAATGGGAATTTCTATCACGAAGGATGTGATAGTAAACTGTGGCTGTATCGCTTAGTGACAGCAATCCCTGCAATCCTGTTGCTATTGCAAGAGCCCTAGTGGTGCAGTGGTTGGAATGCAGTATTGCAGGCTGACTCTGCTCACTGCCAGGAGTTCGATCCCGACTTGTTCAAGGTTGACTCAGCCTTCCATCCTTCTGAGGTGGGTAAAATGAGGGCCCAGATTGTTGGAGATGATATGCTGACTCTGTAAACTGCTTAGAGGGGACTGTGAAGCACTGTGAAGCAGTACATAAGTCTAAGTGCTATTGCTATTAGTGGAATCCCCTGCTTAGGCAAGGCAACTTGTTGCCAGCTTCCCACAACCAAAATCAGTGGTGAAGTAAGCAAGAAGTTATAAATCCCAGGCAGGAAGGCAGGCAGGCAGATAAGTAGCTGGGAAGAGGCAAGAGGTACAGCATAGGTCAGGTGTGAGG